TTTTTTTTTTTTTTTTTTTTTTTTTTTTTTTTTTTTTTTTTTTAGTTCATAATTAGTTCATAACTAAAAATAATATAAAAAAAAATAAATTTTACTTATTCAAATATTTCTATTATTGAAAAAAAATATTCGTTATTTTAGAAAATATATTGTTCTCTTCTTTCTTGACAATTTATTTGTTCTTTTAATTTTATATTATTATAAATATATTGAGTTTTATATTATATATTTTAAATAGAAAAAATAATTAGACATACATAAAAAATTCTATGATTTCAAATGATATTAATATAATAACGTTAATTTCTATTCTAAATGGTAATATAAACAATATTCGAAGTCATTTTTTATGAATATGTAACATTGAATTTCAAGAAAAAAATTGAGATGAAAAAAATGAAGATACGATAAATTTTTAATATTAATAATAAATACAACGAATTAACTTTATACATATTATTTATCAATCACTATAGTATTTCTAAAATAAAATAGAAAAATGTTATATGCAAGTTACTTAAGATTATTTAAGGTAATAACCATAAATAAAAGTGATTTTCAAGTATGAAACATAAATAATATTCATAAATAAATTGAATTTTAGATTTTCACTAGGACAATTGCATTAATCAATGTCTTGTTTTCAAGATTTCTATCTTCTTTTCAAATATATCATTTGTCGCTTAATTAAATTCTCGTATTTTATTTTTCCCACTAAGCCAACCAAGTTTCTCATTTCAGATGAGAAATTGTTGTATATACGAGTTTAACGTAATAATGATTCGTGTAAATATAAAATTACATGGCAATAGATACAAATCGATTATGTCTGCCAATAGCGATTTGACATTGACGATTACAAGGAAGTAACATTTAAAGTGAAAAATGGAAGAAATATCGAGAAAAAGTAGGATTTAAAATGCAAATATAATCAACTTTTTATATATTAATATTTATTCACAATATGTATATTTCCGTCCATAAATCATCGAACACTTACATAAATTAAAATATGGACAATTTATATTATGAAATAATCTATTATATTTATTATATAAATAAAATTAATATGCATTACAGAATAATTTATTAGATATTATGATTTGATTTTATCATTTTATTATCCTTAACAAAAAATATTTTACATGAAATTATTTCAGCAAGAATACATTATGCTATTAGTTTTTTTTTTCTTTTTTTTTTTAGATGCATATAAAAAGGACATGTGGAGGTTGATATTTTTTTAAATGGGATATATATCTTTTATTGTATCAGTAATACAATTTGATATTTTTTACA